GAGAGACAGAGAGAGACAGAGAGAGACAGAGAGAGACAGACAGAGACAGAGAGACAGAGATATAGAGAGGGCATGAAATTGGCTACTAGAGGGGCATATCCGGTAAATCGACGATATCATCACCTGGAAGATCCATTAACTGCCGCCTGCTAACGGGGAGGAAGCCTGGGCAGCTCAACAGCTTTCTCGCCCAAGAAATCGGTGAGTTGCTTCCCCCTCGTCTCGATCGGAAGCAGCACGGAGGCGGCCGCCGACGCTACCGCTATTACTATAAAGATAGCGACCGCGATTGTTTCATGGCAGCCTTCTACGAGCGCCACTGCCACAAACGGGCAAATCAGACCCCCAATTCTCGCCATCCCAGCTGCCATACCGAGACCAGTGCTTCTGACAGTCGTCGGATAAACTTCGGGGGCGTAGACATAGGCTGCTGTGAACGCTCCGCTCACAGCCGCCCGCGCAACGAAGAGGAGGAAGACCACGACCTCGCGCGTTCGAATGAGGAAGAACGGCGCCAGAGCCACAGCATCCACCACAAAGAAGATGGCCAACATCACCCTCCTCGACATCGTCTGCACCATTATCGCCGTTGCTATGAGACCAGGAACCTCCGCGAAGCTCGCCAACAACACGTCCCTGTACTGGCTGTTGTCGAACTTCGGTCTGCCTTTTCCGATGCAAGTCCCATCGTCCGTGCCGTTGGAAGGATTACAGTCCTCCCGCCAGAGGGGGTGAATGCCCCGAGGGGAGGGATTATTACCGTGCTGAAGAGCCACTTCAGTCGTGTACAAGACGATTCCATAATAAGAAAAAGCACAGCCGATGAAGACCATCCAGAGAAGCAGAGTGGTACGTCTCCAAGATGGGGACAGAATCGCGCACACCTTTTCCCACGCCGTATCCGCCTTGTGCGCCCCGGATCCCGGCGGCGACGCGACGGCGGCTTTGCCAGCACCGCTTCCGGCCGTTTCCGCTTCTACCCCTCTGCCTTCGGCCTCGCCATCGCCGATGGAGGACGACTTCGACAAACGCGCCCAGCCTAACCCTAATTTCGACGAGGGAGACAGGGGCAACAACCGCTTCTTGAGCGAGAAAGACGGAAGCAAAGAGGAGGGAGAGAACTCCTCCTCCGGCGGGGCACCCTTCAATACCAGTTTGCCCGCCAACGGCGGCTTGCCATTGTAAATTGCTATCTTCCTAAACATCGCGTTGAGCGAATCAAGGTCGCCTTTGAGCTGCAAGAAACGCGGCGATTCGGGCAGAAAGGGGTAGAGAATGAGGAGCACGATGAGCGGGGCGGCCGACACCGCTACCAGCCATCGCCAGCCGAGCGTCGGCATGATGGCCCACGCCAGCAGCGCCTCTACTATCGACCCGACTGTCCAGAATACGTTAATTACGACTAACCAGAAGGCTCGATCTTGACCAGGTACAAACTCCAGGAACAAGGCGTACGGCACGTGCACGCCTCCTAGACCAAACCCCACCAAACCACGGGTTAAAATCAACCACCAATAACTAAACGAGAAACTGCTAAGTATTCCAAACACAGCCGTGAAACAGGCCGTCATGAAAAACCCCGCTCGCCGTCCCTTCACGTCAGAGACGGCTCCCCATACGTACGCACCGAACAACATCCCAACGAAGACGGTACTCGTGACAGCTCCCTCCATTGTCCCATTCAAGTTCCACTCGCACTTCGCGGCAGGGCCGACGAACGAGAGGAGGAGCATCTCCATGGCATCGCCAACCCAAGCAAGGCCGGAATAAAACAACATCATGACCTGAAACCAACCGAATCCGAGAGCATCAATGCCTTCGCTGACATCGTACTCGCGTGGGCCATCTGCACTATCATCTAATGACACAGGATCGAGAGCGAGATCACGGGTGGAATCGGAGCGGACAGTCGAGGAGGGTCGGTCAGCGCTCCCGTCCCCCCTGCTGCCGCTACCGCTGGAGGTAGCCATAGCTATGGCTTTACCACCTTAGAGAAGAGTTAACTCCTGTTCTTCTCTCCTCCTCCTCCTTTTCCTCCTCCTTTTGCGTGTCTTTCTACTACTCCTATCACCCCTACTCTCCACCTCCTCCTCCTCCTCCCCCTACTTCTCCTACCCTTCTTTTGTATCGTCTTCTCTCCCCTTTATTCTCGATCCTTATTTATGTTGTGTCTAGTTTATGCCGGCGGATGGCGGCGCCGCCGGCAGCCATACCTCCTCCCAACACCGATGGCACTCCTTTTCCTTCCTCGTCGTCCTCAAGATCATACTCACTCTAAGACTTCTTTGGCAGCTCTGGCGACGGAATTGCGATCACATTCATCCAGGACCGGCCGTAATTGCAGTCAGATACGTCCAGCGAAGTTGTCCTCTTGTGGATGTCCTCTTAGTCTCTTCTTTTCCTCCTCCGGACGACTTCTGCATCCCGCGAGCGGCAGGGCGAATCACCGGTGGCCACGGCTACCCCCTCCGTTGCTTCTCCTTCACCACTTAACCAATACGACCTCCTTTGCCTTCTTTTTCTTCCTTTCCCGCTTTTCCCTTCCTTTCCCTCCCCTTCCCTTCTTTCCTTCCTCTTCCCGCCTCTTCCCCTCTTTCCTTCCTCTTCCCGCCTTTTTCCTCCTTTCCTTCTTTCCCGCCTCTTCCCCTCTTTCCTTCCTCTTCCCGCCTCTTCCCCTCTTTCCTTCCTCTTCCCGCCTTTTTCTTCCTTTCCTTCCTCTTCCCGCCTTTTTCTTCCTTTCCTTCTTTCCCGCCTCTTCCCCTCTTTCCTTCCTCTTCCCGCCTCTTCCCCTCTTTCCTTCCTCTTCCCGCCTCTTCCCCTCTTTCCTTCCTCTTCCCGCCTTTTTTCTTCCTTTCCTTCCTCTTCCCGCCTTTTTCTTCCTTTCCTTCTTTCCCGCCTCTTCCCCTCTTTCCTTCCTCTTCCCGCCTTTTTCTTTCTTTCCTTCCTCTTCCCGCCTTCTTCTTCCTTTCCTTCTTTCCCGCCTCTTCCCCTCTTTCCTTCCTTTTCCCGCCTCTTCCCCTCTTTCCTTCCTTTTGCCGCCGCTTTCCCCTCTTTCCTTCCTTTTGCCTTCGCTTTCCCCTCTTTCCTTCCTCTTCCCGCCCTACGTCTTCCTACTCGTCCTCCTCCTCTTCTTCCTCTTCTTCCAAAGTGTCTACTTGTTTCCGCCCCTCTGCTTCGTGACTATGGTAGAGAGGACTGCTACCCTCCGCCGTTGTCAGCGGGCGAAGCAGGTGGCCCAACAGTCCACGGCAAAATGAGAAAGGTAACCCGCTCGCCACGTGGCAATAGCATAGGAAGGCTCGTCTACGTGGCTGCCGCTAGCGGGCGAGATCGGACGAGATCGGCCAGCACAGATTCGACGGCCCCTCCCTCAATCAACTTCAGCACAAATGTGACCCTTTTGTCCCCGCGGTGTGCGCTCTTGTCTGACATCAGACCAGGGCGGTCTCGAGCGCATCCGGCCGTAATCACGGTCCTGAACATCCACCAAATGCCGAACAGGCCAATTGCAAAATCGTATCAAAGAGATGCGTGGCGCGCCACACGGGCGCAAACAGGTTATCATCCTCGGTGAGCTTCACCATCTCGCGAACAGAAAAATCCGGTACGTCATTGCAGCGAAACCTGTATTATAAATTTTGGCGGGAGAGGCCCCTGCAGGGCCCCCCGGCGCTAACCCCTCGGAAAGTGGGATTCCCGCCGATTGCATTGCACGTCTTACATGGTTTGTTCCGATGGACATGCCCTGCAGGTCCTGGCCCCGCGCGTCCACATCTCTACCGGGGGCTAGGACCCACTTACACGAATTAAGAGATACTGACCGTAGATATCACAGATCAACGGTCAGAATCTCGTAATCCGTGCAAGTGGGACCTTGCTGCCCCATTCCTGGTCCTAAAGGGGTGGATCCCACCGCCTGTGGGGAAAACTGTTCTCTTTGCCCCAGGAAACCATTTGGGATCCCACCACGGCGGCCAGCGTTTTTTGTTTTCTTAGTTTTGGCGAAACATTCAGTAGCAAGCCTGCAATCTGCAGCCAGAGAGGTGCAGTCTGTAGCAAAAGACTTGCAGGCTTTCAGCCTGTCAGCCAGATCAGCGTTGCGTGCAGTCTGTTGCAAAAGACTCGTAGGCTTTCAGCCTGTCAGCCAGATGTTCCTGACCGGGGCCGATTCCCGCATACACCGTTGAAGTAATTTGTGATTTCGTGGTGCGTCTTTTCAGTCAGAATGAGTCATAGGGGTAAAACATTGTAGGGGTATCTGTTCATCAGACAATCAAGGTTTTCAAGGGGATAGCTGAACTCAAACTGACAAGACAGTAAACA